TGGGAGGGCTTCTGAGGGGCCTTTCCTATGGAAGAACATGCTCTTTTGAGGCATTGGGAGGAGAAAGGAGCTCACAAAGGCCAGGGACACGGAAGCCAGAGTAATGGCATTGAGGTGAAAGTAGGATACGTCTGCTAAGGAAACCAGGAGCTGTCCCAGCACAGCAGCAAGGGTGGCTGCAACGAGAGTGATACTCCTGCAATAGCTCGTCACTCTCTGATAGCGATCAGCACTGACGACGCTGTAGATGTAGGCGTAGTAGGCAACCTCGGTGGCTGTCACCATCCCGTAGGAGAATTCCATCACCTGCATGGCCACCAGCCCCTGTGCAAAGAGGAGCAGGAGCCACGTGACAATGAAGCTGATGCCCTGGAGGAGGAGGATGGGCTTGTAGCGCACGTAGTCAGTAATCAGGAAGACGGGGACAAGGAGCGCGAGGTAGGAGTATGTCCAAACTGGGAAAACCTGGTTGGTAACCTGGAAGAACCATACTTGTGTCAGAGCAAAATCTATCTTGCATCAAATTCAATTCCCTGAAGTAGCTGAAAATTAATACCCATTCAGTTTTATGTTTTGCTTGAATCATATACCTCTGATCGCCTCCTTACCTCTGAATTTAACAAACAAACTAACAAAACCATTCCTTTTGAACTAGGAACTGGAGTTGTATGTAGTATACATGTAGCTGTTACTAGGTTGTCTTCATGTGTTATTTTTTGTTTAAAAAGTAAATAAGTTTTAATGAAGCTGTTTGAGTAAGTTTTGGTTGGTGTTCTATGCATTGATGGCCTGAAAATAAATTGTCATTGCGGTGGTGGCTGTGCCCTGCTGAGCAGCCTGGGCCCTCAGCAGCACCCCAACAGCAGTGTGCTGTGAACCCTGTCTGGGCTGAAACCAGGACGTGGGGCACTGCAGTGCCAGCTCAAATGATGGCAAGTAAGTTCATGCATTTTGATACATAGGATAAGCACCGTTCTGTGAACAGCAAAAAATATGCAGCCATACTTTACATTTAAGTGAAGGAATTTCACAGGAAGTTTCAAGATTGTAGGAAAAAAAAAAAAAACCACATCAATTTCTTTCTATTTGCAACTCCTTTTTCAGTCAATATAAATGTTGTTTGTGAATTCTCAAATGGAATCTATAGAGATACAATCAAAAATTTGGTCATGTTTTTTTTACCAGGCCTTTATAAGCCGTCTTACCAGAGAGAAATACCCCTCGTTTCAGAGTCATGCCTTATTTGTGTCATCTCTTATTGGTAGTGCATACATTTGTGAATAATTGTTTTCAAGGATGAAACACAGGAACAGTCAAATTTCATCCAAAAAAAAAAAATCTCTGCTGAAGATTTGGATAATTTACTAAGAGATGCAGCCAGTGCCACTGAACCAAACTGATGCTTTAGTTTCACAAAGAGGTCAAAAATTCCAGTAATTTTATGTTTTTGTTGGTCTTCTTTTTTTTAAGTATTGTAATTTAAAAAAAAAAAAAAAGTAGAAAATTTATCTTAATTTTGTTACTTTACATACATTAATAACATTATATATTGCATGAGGACTGTCATGTAAGCAATGCCTGCTATGTTATGATGTTGACCTATGATGTCAGAGGTGGATGTTGGAGGTATGGCAGCAGAGGTTGAACCTTCCCAACAATGGTGGCAGAGGGGCACTCTCAAAGAATGGCATCTGATGTGGAAGTGTGTGACACAGAGCAAAGAGTTGCCACTGAATGCCTCCATGTAGAACCCACGGTACCCAGTGACATTCATGGACGCTCGCTGAATGTGTATGGAGGCCTGGCAGTGGGTGGTGCATTACAGCAGTGGTGACAACAGCAGTGGGTCATCTCCACTGGTGCAGATTTTTTAAAAGCACGGCATGTAGGCCTTGCTGACAAAAAAAAAGTACAGTGAACGGTGGTGACTGTATTGAAAAACAGTGTTTTGTAAATGAGAATTTGCTCTATCAAACAGCGCTATTGTGCTGTCTGTATCTGTTGTAGTTTCCATGGAAATAAATATGGGGCATTGCTTTTGGAGCTATTAATGTATATGAAGCCTAAGACAATTTCTCTTCATTCAGTGCAGCCCAGGCAAGCCAAAAGGTTGGACATCCATGGAATAACTGAAAGAGCTAAGTCTGTACTGTCAGTTCTGAGTAGATTGTTGATGAGATCCGAAATAAGGCATCCTATCAGGATCTCTCTTACATGAAATACACAGATAATTTCCCTTTATGGTTTAGAAGGAAGAAATAATAATAATACCTCCCCAAAGGAACAAACAAATAAGTTACTCTTCCCTCCACAAAAGAAGAATCCCATAAATACATTTTTCAGAAGAAATCTGGTCTTTGTGCTATGCTAACACTCTGCCTTAGCATTTGCGAGGGCAAGTCAGGAATGACTGTTCTTCATACTTGCAGTATGTGGGTGTATGAAGCTTGTGTTTTCTAATTATATCATTAAATTTATGACTCACTTGTTAACTGTGTCCTCTTCTGTTACGAAGTGTGCTCTAGAAGCATGCTTTAAAGAACAACAACCAAAAAAAAATAGAAAAAAATAATTAAAAATACCTTAAGATGTGAATCTGCCTTGCATAGACAAATATGCACAGTGTTGTAATGTGTGTAGATCACTCTGAAGGTGTTGCTTTGTATTTATTACCATGGAAACTACAACAGATACAGGCAGCACAATAACACTATTTGGTAGGGCAAGTTCTCAGCTACAAAATGCTGTTTTTCCACATAGTCACCACCATTTGCTGTACTTTTTTTTTTTTTTTGTCAGCAAAGAACACTCAGCCTGCATGCTGCGCTTGTAAAAATCTGCACAGTGGAATGACCTACTGCTGCAGTTGGCACTGCTTGAAATGCACCGCCTCGCTGTGCTCGCGTGCCCTGCTGGGCTTCCATACACGTTCCGCAAGTGTCCATGAATGTCAGTGGGTGTAATTCATTCCAGGTGGAGAGATTCATTGACACCCCTTTGCTTCATATATGCTTCCGTATCAGACACTGTTCTTTCAGATTGCCCTTCTGCTGCCACCTGTCACATAGCAACAGAATGTAAAGGGACATTGGTGGGAAGCTTCAACCTCTGTACTCCCACCATCTGCTTCTGATGTGGTGGGCCAACCTAATAATAAAAATAGCAGGCGTTACTTTAGGAGCCGACCTTGTAGGTGATAATCTGACAGCTTATCAGTGGAAGCCTTTCTGTTTTCTCTCCAAAACTACTTCACTGTTAATCTAACTAGTGCCACAATAAGAATAAATAAATCTGTGTTGCTCCTCCTGGGTTTCTCTTGGGAGAGGGGATCTGGTTGACTTGATTTTGCTGAAAGAATCCATTTATTCAAACAACATCCAAATGTGGTTTTAAATACCAGAAGGCTTGAAAAGAGGAGAACCCTTATCCTTCTCCAGCACAATCTTAAACATGAATCTTTATATAAAATGTGTTTTGCTGAACGCTTTTTCTTCCTTTACAGCAATAACCAAAGGCTTACTGCTTTAGACACTTCAGTTATTACATTAGAGAACAGTTACATACCTGCTCAACTGTTAGGTTTTTGTCTGGTCCAGTTAGGTAAGGTGTGAGAAAAGACTCTGAAGGTCTCATTGTGGAGAAAAACCCATTCACACAGATGATGAGCGTGGGATAAATCCAACTGCTGCATATGGCTCCTTTCCAGCAATCCATAATCTGTGTAAGAACGCAGTGAAAAAGCAAACGCACCAGAAATTTGTCAAGAAACTGCTCACAATTGGTAAAACCTCATCTGAAAGTTTACTTTTTAACCAAGCCGACTTTTCCCCACACTGCCTCCTAATCACAAACACAGTTGTAAATTAACAGCTTGGATCAAGGTGCACTTGTGGTGGGACTTCAGCCTCTGTTATGTCAAGTGTTGTTCAGTGGTGTACTTAGAATTGAGGAGATGCATCTCAGTGGAAGAATCAAGTTCCATTCCAATCTCATTTCTGAATAAAGGCTGAACAAAATGTTAGATTCTCAGCATGCTCAGGGGGGCTGTCTGTCTGAGAGTCAATTGGAACAACTGAGGTGAAAGTGTTTTGTAGGCAATAAAAGCCCCCAGGCAGCTTACAACATGCTATGAGCTCTGTCTTAACATTGGAAATACTTAGTCTGAATAGTATATAAAGGCAGCATTGCTGCGACCTCAGAGGAAGGTTACAAAAACCAGCCCTAAATTCAGATCTTGATTTCCAATAACAGGTGAGTGTGTGGAGAAAACACTGCTGGGTGGTCCATCACCTGACTGGCTGAGAGGTGGCTGCTGGCCAGGATTTCTCTGTTAGCCCACACCGTGCTTGCCTAATACCTCCTGGCTTTGAATGAAAAGATGCAATTTTCGTGCTGTTTGGTTTTCCAGAATGGGCCTCACCAGCTTGACTGTACCTTAATGGAAGACTTGTCCCCCAACCCGGTGGTGCTTCAAGGGCAGTTGGTGCTGCTCTTAGCTGGGGCTGTCACTCGGACAGCGATGGTTATGCAGAATCCTTTGGCATGCTTAGAGGAGAGATGAGCCCTTCATGTTCAGCTCAGCTGCAAGGGGAGCTGGATTTGTTCCAAGTTTCACTTTCCTGCAGATCTAAAAAGCCCTGCTGGTGCCTGCCAAACCTCAATTGTGGCTTCTTCAAAGCGTGTGTGTTGTACATGAACACACAGCAGGACGCGTGCATCTCAATCGCTTGGATGAAACCAGTGCTGATTGCTGGGTCAACACTGTCTTGCTGCTGAAAACTCAGGATAACATGAGGCTTTACCTTTCTGTTGCTGATTATGATTCTGTTGTCTTGTCATTCCTAATGCTCCTAAGAGCTTCCCTGTCCCCCTTCCCCTCCCAAATACTCCTCCAAACTCCCAACCCCAGAATCTATCTTCTGGAAATTCTAGAGGAGAGGAATGTAAGCGTATAAAAGGAATGTAAGCGTATAAAAGGAATGTAAGCGTATAAAAGGAATGTAAGCGTATAAAAGGAATGTAAGCGTATATTCTTGTCTGCTTTTGGAAGACAGTGCTCTCTATAACTAAAAGCTACATATACTATCTGCTTGGTTCCTTTACTCCTTAGTGGCAGTGCATGGAAGATGGCGAGCTGTGACCAACTCAAAACGGAGGAACTTTTAATGTTACTTCTATTGGTTGTTTTTTTTCTAGCTCCTTTTCTGAAGTTTACTACTGCTAATACATTTTTACATAACAGCAGAGTTTGGCATGTTGCCAATGCCTTTTCCTTTTACCAGATGCTACCTGTAGGGAGATATTTAACTTTTTGTACCAAAGACAGCTTGAGGAAATTCCGAGTTCCTTTTTTCCGCATGTGTAGTTCTGTAGTAACAAGGTACTGTTTAGCAGAGAGTAAGTACATCTCCTTTTATACTGCATTGGTTAAACTGTTCTACTTAAAGCCTCTTTGCAACTGGGGATATCTACACAATGCACAGCACTAAACAAATGGACTAGAAAAAAAGCTGCCTTCATTTGGTGAAGTCCCACTGATTTTCGTGAGACTTGAAGCAAACTTCTTTCCAGCCCCCTCTCACTCCTATAGTAGGATATTTAGGATAGTTTGCTGGTTGCAGAGGATGACCAGTTTATGAAAAGCGAAAATGTTTGTACATGTGGTATCTTGTCTCTCCACAGGAAAAATATTCTGCAAATGCTAAGTGTTTTCTATTTTTATTAGTTAGATGTAGGTACTGCAAGCTTGAAGCAAACTGCAGTACAGAAATAACTTAAACGTGGATATATTTTTGTATCAAACTAAGTATTTACTGTGGAAACTCACTTATAACCTCTCTTTTCCGCCTCCACACTGCATCCTCCCCTATGAGGACAGGCTGAGAGACCTGGGTCTGTTCAGCCTTGAGAAAAAAGACTCAGAGGGGATCTTATTAATGTTTATAAATATCTTAAGTGTGGAAGTCAAAGGGACACGGCCAACCTTCAGTGGTCTGTGGAGATTTGAATCCAAATTTTTTTTACCCTTCCATGCTGAGATTGCTGTGAATTCAGTGCACCGCTTAGGTTGCTGCTTTCAGACAAGGACAATACAGTAACTGTGGCATTGCAGAGTTTTGAAGGTTGTGCAAACTGCCTTTGAGCTTTCATGTGCACAAGGCCTGCTTCTGTAGTGGGCTTTTGAATTAGAAGGGAGTCATCTACCACTGAATGCCTGTCTTTGGGTAGGAGAGAGTATAATGATGCAATATCTTCCTCCTCAGCTCAGAGTAAGGTACATGCAAAGGGCAGAAGTAGAGAATAGGCTCATGTGCACTCACGAGCAAGTGCGCATGGAAGCAGCTTGGCAACACTGGTTGCAAGAATTAGACAAGGAAGCAGAGTGAACTCCGATCTTTCCAACTGTGCACAGCATAACGCCAAGGTGGTTACTGTGCTTTTTTTTATGTCTAAACTACTGCTATCAAGCTATTTATAGGAAAGTAAATAAGATTCTAAAGTAACTTATCTTTTATTCTTGGTACAGTGCCATTATGTTGATCTTAGCTGGCATACGTTGCAAGGAAGTGCTGCAATGATTCAGCGTAGCTTTTCGGGGCTGCGTTGTAAGTTCCTCTTACACAGTGGTTCCCTGTATGCTGCAGCAGGAGCTCTTCTCTTACGAGGGCTGGCCACGTGAGCGGTCTGCCCAACTCTTACAGCCGTGTCGCACAGCCAGTTACAGTCTGCTCTTTTGATTCATGTTCAGTGGGGTTCTGAGACTCTTCCCAAAATCTCACTGTTTTCCTGTTGCACTTTCTTGAGACAAGCATGCAAATGCTTCTGATCAAGAAAATCCCAGCTATGACCGAAAAGTAGCTGCCATAAATTAAAAACTACAGGGAAAAAGAAAAAAAAAAAAAAGCAGAAAAATTGATGAAAAACACATGGTTGAGAAGCACTGCTTCTCCTGAAAACAGACACAGTTTTGTTTACCTGTGTTCTGGCATAGTTTCAATGTTTGAACTTTTTGCTTTGTCATGAAGCGAAATCTTAGCTTTTCCGAAAGCAGTACTATGAAGAATGGAGAACTGCCACGTTGTTCCCAATCCTTATGCTTCCTATTAAACATCAGAGGGAGGAAGGGATAGGAACAGGATTTTTTTTTATATTATTGTGAAATGTAGAGACAGCATGTCCATTACTCACACTGTAATGAATCATGCAAGTGAAGAGTCCAAGTTTGTCCTTTTCCTGCCCTTACTCGCACATTTCACTGGGATCACTACACTGGGTTCAGTAAATGTAATACGAATTTGAATCAGTATTTCCAGTAACAGCGGCCTATTTATGAAGTCTGTTTATGAAGTCTGTGGGTGTTCCTGTCCTTAATCTTCAAAACCTAATCTTTAATCTTTCGTTTAATCTTTCATTTATCCAAGTAACTTCTGTTATCTCCATGGAGAACATTTGGATAGTTTTAATTTTCTTCATATCCATGAGAGCAGGAAGTTGCCTCAGCTTCCCGGATGCTAACTGAGATAATGCAGAAGTTGGTAAATTTCAACTGACTGTCACGAATGGAATTGGTCTGATTGAAGTTATGGACACTGATGTGGGAGAGGGTATCCCATGCCAAATTGAATGACCAAGCCGTGGGTAGTGAGACATTATTCATCTTGAGATATCGATCAGGTTTACTCTTGAGCTGCAATTAGAAGGCAAGTGTCCTTGAACTGAAGTAATTTCAATAATCCATGCTGTCTCATGGTCTTGAGGTCCCCTGACAGTATGGGATTATGTTGATTCAACATCTGAGAACCAGCCTAATTTTTTGGGCAGAGGATGTTATTCAATGCCCTATGAATTAGCAAAAGCTAGGTATCAGGGCCTACTTATTGAAGGTGTGGAGTCATCGCCTTCAAAAAGTTGTTTCTCATCATTAGACATCTTAAAAGCCGCACTAAAAGGCAAATAGGAAGGCTAACACCAGATATGCTGCCTCGATTTCTATAGAAGAAAGGGAATGACATTATCCTTTGCATTATAATTTCTTTTTGTAAACTTCTGAAGATGAATTGGCTGAATAATGAAAGGGAAGCAAGTTAACAAGCACATACCTGAGTCACGATGTCCAGTCCCAGGCCTCTTGAGTCCACAGCAACTACTGTAAGGATGGTCTGAATCACCAGTGCAATGAAGTTATTCAGCCCAAACATCAAAGCATAACGCTCCATGCTCAGGTTGACTGCGATCTGGAACCTATGGTGAGATGGGCAGCTGCTGAGGTTTCACCCAGCATGCAGCTCAACACCAAGCAGCTGTGTGCTCTTTCCTCCTCCCCCGGTAGGATGGGGGAGAGAATCAGGGGGGAAAAATTAGAACTCACAGGTTGAGACAGAGACTATTCGTTAAGGCAAGAAAGAGAAATAATGGCCATGGTAACAGTTATATCTTCTAACCAGTTTTTCTGATGTAAATCTTGTTTTGGCAATAGTCTTTCACTGCAATATTTACCTCCCAAGTTTCTATCTGAACAAATATCCCTGCAGAATGCTTTGAACTGATTTTTCGCAGCTTTCTGATGCAAGTTTTTTATTTTTTCTGTAGAATATGTTAAAGAAGTTCAGATGTGATCCATTATAATGTACTAAAAATCCACCAAAATATAAGTGGAAAGTTTAATTGACTTTGTTAAAGATGAGTATTGTTTTGTCATGTCCTGTACTTTTATCTCTATTTTTTTTAGTTGACTGCATCATTATGGGTTTTGAAACAAAAGTGCATTTGCTATTTGTTAAAGAAGTAGTATGGTAAAAATTTTATGCTAAAAACAACCTATCAATACAATAAATGGTGTAATAAAAATGTTTTACATATATTATATTTTCAGTTTCTGACAACAAAATAACTTGATCTCATTAGATGTCTTGTTTGAGTTTAAATGCCCCATACTCTTTTATTTCATGTTTACACTGTAATATCATTGAGGATTATATATATCAGCAAAGTCTGATATATATAAGGGGATTTTAGAAGATGGTTTTCTAAGATGGTTGTGCTGTTCCTGTGGTTCACTTTGCATCTCCTGTGCCAGCATATGTGCAAGGGGAAAGTAACTTATGCTTTGCTGTTATGGCCTTTAGTAGTAAATATACCTTATACTATGTTTAACTTCTGCATAGTCAATTGTTGAGTGCTCTTTTAATAGCTTTTCTTTATGTTTGTTTAGAAGGATACTTAGAACATAAGCAGACACTTAAATGTCCTTGTCTTTACCTGAACACCCACATCTCATACTAGATGAGAGTAACAAGAGGGATGCCCAAAGTAAACTTAAAGTATTGTAAGTATTATGTATGTCATGGTAGCTGTGAGGGTTAATACTTACGTTGCTATTGTTATAAGGAGCATATAGCTTGCCTTGAAAATTAGGTAGCTGGCATAGCACACCCAGATATTGGTAGTAAAGTGCATGAGAAATAAAGAAACAGCATCCATTGTGGAGAAGATTCCTAATGCCAGTTCTCCAAACAGGTCCCAGTTCATTTTCATATATGCTACCATGAAAGATGCTACAGAGCCTAGAAAATAAAAAGTAACAAGAAAGAAGCAAACATCACATCTGTTACATTGCCTGTATCACTAAGGCTTGCCACCCTCACCTACAAAAAGGCAGCATTGAATAATGAAGTAGACTATTTCTGAAATTGGGCAGATGACTGGTTGTTTTTAGACAATAGTTTGAAGTATCTGCCATTCTTTTCTTTGTGTTTTATTCCACTTCTTGGATAAGCTGTCCTGTGTAAGGATTCATTATTTGCATGTAGGCAGCATGCACTTCTAGGAAGAGATTTAGGAATGCTGTTTGGAGCTTGAGGAACAATTCTAGTTTCTATGAGCTTATGCTATAGACAAGCTAGCAAGCTTTTTCCTCTTAGGTCAATGGTTTAGGTCTGTGCAGCTCAATAAGGAGCTAAGATACCCAAAAAAGGAGGATTTCTGTAAAATATCAAGTGAATATACTCAGGGAAAAAAAAAAGAGAATGGGGAGGTGCTATTTGATCTTAGTGGGTTTCCTACAAAAACACATCTATTTTGAAGGTAAGCCATCCAGATGACCATCTTATGGGATCTCATACAATTTAAAAACCTCTGCGATGAGAAAAGTAAGCATTGCCATGAGAAGTTTTCCTCATGGAATAGGCACAATAGGAGTTAAGTGTTTTTAGTGCATCATTCAGTTGGTCTACGTTAGCTGCCTACCTCCATATTAGAGTAACTTTTAAACTTAGAAGTATTTGGTTCTCCTTAATGACAGCAAGAGTAGTGAAAGGCCAGTTAACAATGAAGATATATCTAAATTTTCTGTTGCATCACAGCCCAATTACTTCTACTGCAGCACAATATGAATGTGAAATGCTGCCAAGTCGAAGTAGTATCCTCTTACGTTGCCTTTGGATAACATTACTTTGCTTGTGCAGTGTGGACATCTGCTCCCACTGCAAGAGTAATTGTTAACATCAGCACCATTGCGAACTGAGTAATCACTTTTTCCTGTGAATCTCCATATCTTGAAATGACTGAAATTCTTTGCTTCTTGCTGTGCAAGAACATTTCACTAGAGACAGCTCTTAATGAGAGGTGTATGCTCTTTGTGTGTAAAATATTTATGGAAAACTCATCTTTATGCTATTGCTATGGGAACAGTAGTGCTACTTGGTTGGCATCGAGGCTGTGGAGAGAATAGAAAACAAAACTCAAAACCCTGTAAAAAGAGGCAAGCATGCCTTCAAATGAATGTAAGATGCATGGGATTTATGCTCTCTGCATACTAGTAGGATAAAGTTTGTTGCCCCAGTCATATAGAACAACAGCTTTGCTCACATTTGTGCTATTCTGTACATCAAAGAACAACTTTTTGAATGCACAACTTGTATACTGCTTTCCTGCAGCATTTGCAATGAAAAAGAACAAAAAAATGTTCTAAAGTAAAACTTTAGATGCCACCTTTGATTGATTCTTAGAATGTAACTTACTAAGGAATGTTGCCACTGCTTCAACAGCTCCATTGTACACTGCAGAGCTGTGAGATGGGGCTCGGAAGTCCCAGAGCACTTGGATGTAGTTCACAACTTGGTTAAAGCCTGCCGTAGCCAAAGCCCACCACAGGGACCAGTAAAGCAGCTTCCTTTTGCTGTAGCAATCCTTCAGGTCCTTGCCCAGCTGCACCAGTACTCTCAGCACGTGGTGCTGGGGCTCGGGCTGCTGAGCCTGCTGCGCTGGAGTCGCTCCCGTGTCAGCAGCTGCGCAGTCCTTGTCCGCTTGGCAGCTCAATGCCGTGTTGGAACTGAGCCCAGCCACAGCTTTGTCTGGTTGTGGGAGGGCTTCTGAGGGGCCTTTCCTATGGAAGAACATGCTCTTTTGAGGCATTGGGAGGAGAAAGGAGCACACAAAGGCCAGGGACACGGAAGCCAGAGTAATGGCATTGAGGTGAAAGTAGGATACGTCTGCTAAGGAAACCAGGAGCTGTCCCAGCACAGCAGCAAGGGTGGCTGCAACGAGAGTGATACTCCTGCAATAGCTCGTCACTCTCTGATAGCGATCAGCGCTGACGACGCTGTAGATGTAGGCGTAGTAGGCAACCTCGGTGGCTGTCACCATCCCGTAGGAGAATTCCATCACCTGCATGGCCACCAGCCCCTGTGCAAAGAGGAGCAGGAGCCACGTGACAATGAAGCTGATGCCCTGGAGGAGGAGGATGGGCTTGTAGCGCACGTAGTCAGTAATCAGGAAGACGGGGACAAGGAGCGCGAGGTAGGAGTATGTCCAAACTGGGAAAACCTGGTTGGTAACCTGGAAGTGAAGAAGATATCTTATTCTTCTTGGTGAAAATAAGTTCATTTATTTAAATTGATTTATAGAAGGGATGAAAAATATGTCATATATAGAAACTGTGTTCTGAAGCATCAAAGGTCTATTAAACAGAGTACTGAATCTTAAGTTTTACAAACCCTGTTTATGTGTATTTCTGATCTTTTTCTTTTACGCCACCTGCAAACTGTAACCTGCCAAGACCGTTTAAAATTTTGTGTAAAGTTCAACATTTCATTTTGTGAACACAAAAAGCAGAGAAAATCGTACCTCATCTATTGTCAAGTTTTTATCTGGTCCAGTTAGGTAAGGGGTTAGAAAAGGTTCTGATGGCTTCATCATGTAGAAGAATCCATAGAGGCAGAGGATCAGGGTGGGAAAAGTCCAGGTGTTGCTTTTCTTATTCTTCCAGCAGCCCATGGCAAAGCTGGGAAGGAGATTTCTTAGCTGACACTGCCCAAAACACAAAGATGTTTTGTCATTCAAATATTTTCTGGTTTCTTGTGCTAAGTAGTGTTCTTTAAATGTTGGTATCTGGAAAACATCTTTCTTAGCTCAAAAGTGAAAAGCTTTCTTTACATACCTCTGCTGTTTCTCTGTTGACAGTGTATAAAGATTTGGAAGATCTGTAAATGAGAGACAAATTACAATATCATTCATTCTGTACTGAGCAAGCTAACCACAGAAAAAGCTTTCCTAGATGAAGATAGCTGAGTACTGTGATTCTTTGACATCATGGCTGATCTCAACCAAGCACCTTACTGAATAATAAGCTTATTTTGTAATCACTGTTTTTTCTCCGTGCCCCCTATCCCCCCCCCCCCCCCCCCCACTTCTTCCTCCAGAGATGTTTGGCTTTCCTATTATGGAGAACCGGAGCCCAGAAGGTCAGTCACTAACAAATATAGCAGTTAAAGTGAAATGAAGCAGATATTTCAGCTCTTTTCTCTAGCTGAGACTTAAGGAATAAATTAAACCTTGTTGCAACTTTGCTGGACAGAGCCAGAGAAATGAGAATGGGTATGATGTGGGAGCATGCAGAGGAAATGGGTACAGTGTAAGTTACATTCCGTATTCATGTTGATCTACATAATATCAGGAATCTAAACTTATGCAGTCTATCTTTTGGAGCCCTCTGTAGGGTTCCTGTTTCTAGATGCTATTTCTGTTGCTCTGTTTTCGATGACATCTCTGTTTTTCTTCCTAACAACTTCTTTCAGGCAAAATATTGTCTTCGTCTTAAAATAGAAGTATTTTGTGGGCACCATTTTCCTCAGAAATTAAGATTAAAAAAAAATAAAAATGAGGAAGGCTTCTTCCAAACCAAATGAAAATGTTTGTGCATGTGTTGACAGTGTCACTCCAGGCTGGCTGGGTGGAGGATCCTCTCATAGAGTACAAAAGTTACCTGGTGTATGAAATGTAAAGAATGAGGTAGCAAGCATTTTACATCTTGTATAACTTCATATCATGACTTCAGATTTTCCTAATGATGAGCATAGAAACAGTGCAAATCAAGCAGAATTGGAATGATTTCATATTATGCGAAACTTCTGCATAAATGTTGCAGGATTTACAGCAGAAATTACAGCTGTATGTCAGCTCTATAGTGTGAACCACTAGAGGGCAAGATGGCCCCAGCAAAGAAATAACGTCTCAAGAAAAATTCGCTATACATCCATAGAATTCGAGGAAAGGCATTTCTGCCCCTTCTTCATTGCCTGTTGTTGGAGTTGCTTGTGCTGTGAACGTGGATTTGGCAAGGATGACTTTGGGCTCTGCCTAAACTGGTCACTAAAACATCCTCTTACTCTTCTTTTCTTGAACAACCTTTAATGCCTTACAGCACTCTGACACCACATGCATGCTTCATGTGGCACACAAAGACTCTGAGACAGGCATCAGAAAGAGGGGCTGAAAAGCATTTCTTGCACTTCAATGCAGAGCATCAACAGAGGTTAGTTCTGTGACTTACCCAGTTTGTATCTTTTTCTTTTTCAAACTAGATCCTCAGGTTAAATATGCCTGTCTCTTTTAGGTCCTGCTGGGTTTGTTCTATACCCAGTAGGCCATACGGAGTGAAAGTGTAGCAGATTTCATGGACCCTTCTAAACATCCCACGTCTTCAGATGTGAGTGGGACATGGGCAGACTCCTGGGGAGTCCAGAGACTGCTGCATTTCCTGGGACTCAATGCTGTGACCTGCCTTCTGACTCTGGCCATTTGTGGTAAGGTTGTAGCATCTCGTGCAGCAATCTCTGTTTTGAGCTGTGTACAAAGAAATCTTCAGGTGCACCCTGGTATGAGCATCCTTCCTTCCCCAGCACAGCAGGCTTACTATTCGAGGAACCTTTGCATGACTAGCAGATACTTCAGATGAGAAGTTTCCCCCTCAATTTAACAGATGTGCAGAGCCAGGAAGTGCTAGGAGCTTGCGGGGACAGCCTGCTCTGTCTGTGGGGAGCAGGAGGTGAGTACCTCTCTCTTTGCAGCAGTATGCACACTCACCTTGCACCCCAGAATCACAAAGAGCTCTGCTGCTGTCCCAGCTTGGCTCTGCCAGCCACTGATACCGTTGCTCCTTTCTGCACTCATAATCACAAACCTCTGAGATCAAGATCTGTGTGTTCATGCTTAAGACAGAGAGAACAGACTTGCTCTCATTTATTCACACCTGATGATCAATTTATCTTTTATAACTCTTGGTTTTTTTGAGTTTTGGAGAGTTGATGTAAATCTTTGGTGTGCAGCCAACAGAAAAAGCCACCTGTTTCTTGTTTTCCCAGTACACTCCATCATTTCTTACTTGGTACCAGGGCCACCAGCCCTTCTCCTATGTGGCCTGGCCTGGCCCTTCAGTTCCCCACCGAAGTGCTCTCCTCCCCTCCATCTTTCTTTCATCATTGTTGGATTTCTGATTTCAAAGCTCATATATAATCATACCTTGTGTGCTTGAGCCCCTCCTTTCTTGTTTCCACACGAAAGGTCCCCTTTTGGGATCTACAGTCTTCAGCTGTCCTCTGTGAATTGCAGCTTCTGGATTCTATTTGGCTTCCTTGCTTGTCCTGTTCTAGTAGTTCAACTTGTTCTGAGGACACCACCTCTGAGAACACTTCCCACTGGCTCACTTTCAACATCCTTAAAGGAACAGAGCAGATAATCCTGGCCTTTTCTTGCCCAAAGGCAGCAGAAAATTGAGACTGAAAATATGGTTTGATGGTTGACTGAATGAAAAGCAAATAGCACCAATCCTCTTCCCAAAGATTTTCCTCTTTATCTGTTCTAAATGTTTAACAAAGCACCAGAGCAGTTGCTCTTACTCACATGTTGCTAAAGTGCACATTCCCATCTGCACCACACAGTGCAGATGCGGGACGGAACTGAGAACTTTGTCATTCATCATTGTTCTGTGTCACTGGGAGTTTCATTCTTCTCATTGGCAACACTTTAGTGGTGGCATACTGATGTGTTTGCATAAGGAAGGCCTGGAGCTCTTGTTAGAACATGCTAGCAAAGTAGCCCGGAGTATGTAAAAGTTTTGTGATGAGTTTTTGTAATAACAAGGTAAACGTAAGCTGCTTGTGGAGCAATGCTTTAGCTCCTCTTTTGCATAGTGTGCTGTGCCAGGAGTGCTTTATCCTCCTTAGTTTTCTCTTATTAGCTAGAGGAAAAATAACTTTATTGTCTTCATCTTTGTGGAATATAAGTCACCACTGGATTTTCTTTTGTTACATTTTCTTTGGTGAATTAAATGTAACAAGTCAAAACCCTTCTGTTCGTGAAAGGCTGGGAAAGTACCACCTGAATTACAACAGATGTCCCCTTGGGAGTCCTGCCAAGTCCTTATAGGGAGTATGGCATGCTTGTTTGCATTGCAGTGATAGGCACTGCAGCTCTCTGGATTGCTTCCTGTCTGTTAAGAAAACTATCAGACTCTGGGAAGCTTAGAAATAGTGGAGTGTTAGAAATTTTTTTTCTCCGGCACAAAGGAAATTTGGTCCATTGCAGCACTTAGCTGAGGCATGAAAAGTGATATAGTCCAAAGGAGCCAGAGGGCAGAAAAGGAAAGCAAACATCTTCTAGCTTGTGAAGGTGTCCGCTGGTACTGTTCTCTGCAAAATGAATCATTTAGAAGTTCTATGTGAACTTTAAGGCATCTTCCCCTTTTGATTTTGTATGGGGTCTATTTTTCCTCTGCCCCAGAGACAGTACATCCTGCAGCTCTTTCACTGTCATGGAAACCATCAGTGTTTCTAGGAAGAACAGCAGTTTGATGGTATTTCTGGATAAATGATCCCAGTCAGACATGTGGTCAAATTTCTGTTTCAACTGCCAAGCTATCTTTCACCATCACTTTGATTGTTGGTGTGGTTCACGAGTTGGCTTTGAGCTCTTCAGTTCTGAAAGAAAATAAGATTGAAACACGTATTTCTCTGTGGCTAATATGAAAATTTTGTTTAATTCTGTCTTGATATGAACCACATGTTATTCTTATGAGTGAAAGATCACTTTCATGAAGTACCAAATGCAGTAAAAATTACGGCCTATTTTCTCAACAGGGTCAACACCAATTTACTCCTGTAAAAGCTGTGAGCTCCACATGACCGACTAGTGAGCCAGCCAAGGTCCATGGGTTGGCTTGGGTCTGAAGAAATGTTCATTAGTCTCTGGAGATAGAGCTTGTGCCAACTCTCACTGATCTCTGACAGAAAGTAAAACCTCCTCTTTCCATTTCAGTGCAGTAATTTTTTGAGTCTGCAACTAAAGAGGAAAAGAAAATAATAATGATACTAATTTTTTAAAAAGTCATGCTTTTAGTAGATCAGGAAAGAACAAAATTATCTATTCATCTTCACCTTGAGAATTTAGAGGGCATTTTGGTCATTCATGGATGTGTTTTGTATGAAAATAAGTCTCCTGGAATTATCTCTATTTGATGGCTGGAACTGAGAACTTTGCCATCCTATTTATGTGTTTGTTTGTTTTTGTTTTCCTTTTTTGTTTGTTTGCTTTGTAATGATATACAATTTTACTCAGTGAACAGTTTAAGTAGTGTTTTAGACATTCATTGCATGGTTTCTTCATCTTTGGTTAAGTAGCACAAAGGAAATGATATTTTAGGTCAAGCAAATCTCATCTGAGTTGGTTAATACTTTTAGTGACTAATGGAGACTTGCTGTGGATTGCCACAGAGATGGGAGGAAAAACCTGAGAGAATTTATTAGCAACTTCCCGTGTTGAAAGATCACTTTCTGAGGCGTGTTCCTTTGTAGGCTTGACCTGTTCATCCTACAAGCCTCCCACTTGTGGCAGTTTTCCTTTGTCCTATTGTCATGGAAGGATATCTCGTTTCAGAGTAAAAATTTACATTTACTCAACTCCGATAGGAAGTCTCAGCACCTCTGCTCTACTTTTTTTTTTTCCCCTCAAAGTGCATCTCATGCTATAGGCACTGTGGAAGAGTTTGAATCATTGTGACTGCCCAAGTCCTACTGGAAAAACACGTGTTGTGTCTAGACAAGTGCACATAGCTAGCTGGATGTTTCATTTAATGTTAAACCTCTAATGACATTTGAGAAATTACATATGCATCATTTTAGATTCTAGAGTAGTAGATTCTTCTAATAGATTCTTCTAACACTTTGATTCCTTGCCATTTCAGAAGGGTTTGGATAGCAGTAACCAAACACTTGTAGTTGGACAAATATTAGGTAGGCATTTTTGTCCCAGGTGAGAGTGTAAACATTGTTGTGTCAGAGGCAGCAGTTCTAGTTTATGCTTTATGCTGGCAGTATGGCTACCATTTGCAGGACCCTCAGTGCAAACGTGAAGCATAAAAAGGACCATTCTCTGATCTGAGGCAGTATAGATTTAAAAAGTCTAGGCAAAAATGTTCTTGTTAAGCACAGTTCATTTGGATTAGCAGATTTCTGTCAAGTCCAGAGTGCTTGGTTTAAAATGTCCTGTGTTTGGGCAGAATTTCTGGCTCTAGTTCTTGCAGAATGATCTCTTGTTGTTTCCAGGAGACCCTGAAGCTTGTCAGCAATCCTGTGTGGCTAGGAACAGCACGTTCCTTATAATGCCAGCCATGGGCCTCAGCAAAAAAGCCCTGTGGCAGATAACAGGAGCAGTCCAGTGGGTTGGCTAGGGTCAGATCTGGTCCAGACCAGATTTTGGAAATAACAAGTAAGTTATGCTTGAAGCAGACAAGGGGGGACCTCATAGAAGAGGAAAAAGACCTTGGCAAATGTTTATTAAAGGGACTTAAAGCAACACTGTTCTTGCCAGGGCCCTAAAACACCTCTCACAGAAATCAAGAGTTGAAGAGCTAAGGTCCAGAAGGTGTTTAAAAGGCATAGGGCAGATAAGCTAGGTGATTGTGTTATACAAAAGAATCTGGAAAAGTCACAGTGGAAGGACCTAGAGCTGTGGCTTCCTTGGGAAAAGTGTAGGACAGGGAAGCCCGAGCTAGCTGCTTTAGGCAACCATGGTTTAAATCTCCCCTTAGGAAAGTCCCCATAATGTACCTGCTTAGTGCTGAAAAGCTACACTGATTTCAACACTTGAGAAGCCCTATGTCCATGGCCACTCTGCTAATGCCCTTGACAGAGCCATTAAATGATGTTAACTAACATATATACAATTTATTTGTGCTTTTTTTCCCCTAGTTTGGCAATCGACAGCAAACAGGTGTTACTGGAAAGTTTTATGCCTGTCTTCATGTTATACGTAACAAAATCCTGATTGTGTCAAACATATACTAAGCAGCCTGGAGAGATGGAATGCTCTAAATGTCAAGTCTGGTAAAATCTTCAGTCAGGGAGTTCAAGGTCAGCCCAAAACTTTACCACTTCACATTATTTGGTTCTTCCTTCTCTCCTTTTATTGTGTCAGTTCAAGAAAAGAACCACAGACTGCTAGAGAAAAGTTCCTTCAGATTTTATAAAATATTCTCTTCTAATTTTTAGACAAACCTGTATTGGTTTCACGTGATTCATGAGCAGATTCATCTGACCTGGAGTTGTGTTTCTAATAAAATTAATTATCTTTTTTCTTTCTTCTTCTTCTTTTTTTTGCCTGTCTCTATTCTTATCTACAAATCTGGAAAACGTCACACCTCTCTCCTTCATCATCACCAAGGGTAATGACGCTTTTTTCTATCTTTATGAATTGAATTTTTCTGAATGCATTAAATACTTCAAAATATTTTTAAGTGCAAACTCACATTTGTTAATACTGGAAAGCAACTTGATGTTCAGGCTGTGGATTTTGGCTCCAACTATTCTCTCCTTATCCAGATCATTGCGTTCTGTACATTTCTGGAATATTCTCAACCATGCAACATTACTGGAAAAGCACTGACAAACATGCAGAGTTGAAGTAAAATGACTCCTGTACAAAAAGATTGCTGTGTGTGTTTTCCAGGATGTTATAAGATAGTAAATTGCACTCACTTTTTGTAAGCTATTTCCTTTTTGTTTGCAAATGACACAGCTTTCCCAAAACATTTTGGGTGATATATTCTGTGTCCTCTTAAGTGATTTCTTTCTTTCTTCCTTATATTTGTAGAAGTTAGGCAGAAAAAAAGCAGTTCTTGACTTCTTTAGTGTTCAGAAACATTAGTTGTAATGTTTTCTTTGATTGTACCTGAATTTTTTAGAAGGAAGATGGAGTTGTACTGCAGCAAATTTAATGTAACCAACAGCTCAGATTGGTAGGAAGCTTTTTTTTTTAGGGGGGAGGGAGGGTGGAGGATTGGAGTGGGGTGGAGGCTGGCTATTTTTCATCCATCATTCCAATTTTCTTTTTTGCCTTCAACTTTCAGAGGTCTACATCTGTGAAAAGGTGACTAAAGGGACTATAGGACAGAATAACATTGTTTTGAACTAGAGAGATCTTCCTATAGAATACCAGATATTCAGCTTTCGGTCCTGTAGTAAGAAGCAGCAGGCAAACAGCACCTTGACAAATCAAATCATACCGTTCTCTTCATAGCTTACACTCTCATAAGACCAGAGGTTCATTTCTTCCAACAGGCATATGATTTGCCTGTAAGTGCATCAAACCATTTTCATTCAGTATTA